CTGTCAACCAGTGCTAGTTTCTGCCCCAAGAAGAGGTTTCGTTTCGAGCTTTTCTGGACCAAGATGGATGGCTTTGAGGAGGCCGTGAAGGAGGCATGGGTGTGTGACCTAGGCATTGTGAACCTGTACAAGAGGCTCGACGCCCTGCTTCGTAACACATCTGTCTATCTTCAGGCGTGGGGCCAGCGCAAATTGGGGAACGTGAAGCTTATGATGCGGGTGGCTACTTGGATCATCCACCGGTTGGACATCGCGCAGGAACAGAGAACGCTTCAGGCGATCGAAGCTTGGCTCAGACGCATGCTCAAGCACTTGCTGCTGGGGCTTGCGGCTCTGGAGAAGACGATCGATCGACAGAGATCAAGAATGAAATGGATCAAGGAGGGAGATGCGAACACCAAGCTTTTTCAGGCGGTGGCGAACGAACGTCGCTCCAAAAACTTCATTCCGCATATCAAGAGGGGGGTTGAGATCATCACTGACCAGGAGCGCATGGTGGATACCTTCGCGGAGGTCTATGAGCAGTTACTTGGCACTGCGTCTGCTAGAGGGCACACCCTAGACTTAAACTTCCTGGGTATCGAACCAAGGGAGCTCGGCATGCTTGAGGAGATGATCACCGAGGAGGAGGTGTGGCAAGTTATAAAAGATATGCCCGGCGACCGTGCGCCAGGTCCGGACGGATTCATAGGGGCGTTCTTCCAGCAGGCCTGGCAGATCATCAAGTCTGATGTCATGGCAGTTTTGATGAAGCTTTTTGTGGGAGACGGAAGGGGTTTTGCAAAGCTCAATAAGGCACACATCATTCTTATTCCAAAGAAATCGGATGCTGAAGAGATAGGTGATTACAGGCCGATCAGCCTCATTCATAGCATTCCCAAGCTCTTTGCGAAGGTTCTTGCAAACCGTCCGCAGAACCAAATGCAAGACATCGTGGGAGTGAACCAGTCCGCTTTCATAAAAGGCAGACATCTGCATGACAATTTCTTGTTTGTTCGTCAAGTGGCGAGGAAGATTCACATGAGGAAAGTGCCTGGCGTGTTCCTGAAGTTAGACATCTCAAGGGCTTTTGACTCGCTATCATGGCCGTTCCTCTTTGAAGTGATGAGAGCCAAGGGTTTTGGTTAAAGATGGATGAGCTGGATGATGACACTGTTACACTCGGCTAGCACCAAGGTTGTGGTCAATGGAGTGCCAGGCAAGAGTTTTCTGCACGCTTGTGGCCTGAGGCAAGGCGACCCGATATCTCCGATGCTCTTTGTCATCGCCATGGACGTTCTGACGGCACTGTTTACCAAGGCTACGGAAATGGGTGTGCTTAGCTCTTACGCGGGCATCTCGGCAACGCAAAGGCTTTCAATCTACGCTGATGATGTGGCACTCTTCATTAAGCCATCTTGTCAGGATCTTTTGGCTGTCAGGGAGATGCTGGCTGCTTTTGGGGAAGCATCAGGTTTGAGAATCAACTACCACAAGTCTTCCGCTATTCTGATCCGTGGGGATGATGATGATAAAGCTCGGGTGGCCCAGATCTTGCAGTGTGGGCTGATGGAGTTCCCTTGTCGGTACCTGGGTTTGCAGCTGGCAATTCGCAGTTTGACCCGGGCCGAGTGGCTGCCCATGCTGGACCAGGTTCGCAAGTTCGTGCCGGCCTGGCAACGTGGCCTGATTCAGCGGCCGGGACGCCTCGTCCTCGTGCAGTCGGTTGTCTCTGCTAGGCCCGTTCACCACTTGCTGATCGCGGACGCGCCGGAGTGGGTGTTCGAGGAGATGAACAAATGGATGAGATCATTTTTCTGGGCAGGCAAGGAGCGGTCGAACAGAGAACAGTGCTTAGTGGCTTGGGATAAGGTTTGCACACCGAAGCAACTTGGCGGTTTGGGCGTTAGAAATCTGAAGGCACACGCCCTTGCTCTCCGAGTTAGGTGGGAGTGGTTAAGGAGAACTGATCCTAGACGGCCTTGGCAGGGGCTGTCGATGATCGAAGATGCCAACGCACGAGCTGTGTTCGATTCGATGGTCCAAATCACGGTTGACAGAGGAGATGAGGTCCTTTTCTGGTGTGATAGATGGTTGCATGGCTTCCGGATTGCCGACATCGCGCCGCTTCTGTTGGCCACGGTGCAAACCCGGGTGGTCAACAGTCGCACCGTGCAACAAGCCCTCACGAGAGAGACATGGAAGGAGGACTGTAACATCACCGCCTCGTTTACGGCCCAGATCCAGTGCATGCACCTCTGCCACGTGATCAACACGGTGCAAAGAGATATGAACGCGTCGGACGTGTTTGCCTGGCCGGCTTCGTCTACGGCGAGCTACTCGGCCAAGTCGGTCTACGACCACCTTTGCTCCAACGTCCCCAGATCGCCGACGGCGGCATGCACTTGGCGGAGCTACGCACCGTTGAAATGCAAACTATTTATCTGGCTCGCGTTGCAGTACAGGGTGTGGACCTCAGACAGACGGGCAAGACATGGACTTCAGGAGCTCCCGTCGCCTTGTTACACATGCATGCCGGACGAGGACAACGTGGATCATATTCTGGCCAGATGTACCTTTGCACAGGAAGTGTGGCACCGGATCTTTGACCAGCTAGGGATCAATATCCTAGGAACGACACGCCATGATACCTTCGCTGCCTGGTGGCTTTGAGAGAGGAAGAAGTTTGGGGGAGCAAATAGACGTGGTTTCGACACCCTGGTTAGTGCAGTTGCTTGGACCCTCTGGAAGCAAAGGAATGCCAGGGTTTTCAACAGGTTTGAGCAGCAAAGACCGGCGCACCTCATTCCTACCCTTGTTCTGGATGAGATCGCGGAGTGGCGCTCGACCGGGCTAGGTGTAGGTGGTTTACATAGATTTGTGAGGAGCTAGTCCATGTATGTGTGGAGTTGGCTGTGTGTGACCTCCGTCCCCGTATGTTCGCATCGGGACGGACTTTTTTACATAATACTCTTTTCTTCTATAAAGCTATGGTACGTCATTGGCGTACTCTCGAAAAAAAAAGCTTCAAGATAGATAGGGTCTGTCCTTGAAGGCGATTCTATCGTCAGACACGAAATGGCCCGCAGACATTATTGTGCTTTTCATCTCTGTGCCACGTTTGTACGTTTAGCCACGCATGAATGAAAGCTTTGCCATGTACTAGGCCCGTGGCATCATAAACGCATCAACTTCAATTCAAGTTCGAATTTGGTTGGGGCATTGGGGGGTTACTTTCTGATATGGTCAAGGAGGTGTGGGAGAAGCCGGTTGCCGAGTATACCCCTTTCAAGGATTCGTCCGATTAATCAGTTATCTTGTTGATTAAACCCAACTTGTAGGGTCATCGAGTAGATAATAAAGTGACAAATCGGCTGATTAATTGATTAAATGTTCAATTAAGAAAATACCTGATTCATGAAGGCATACTACGGGTATCCTTAAAAAGGAGAAGTTTCGTCTTTCATTTACTATTGATGAATTAGAACCTTTGGCAGAGGTCAGACCACTATCTGAGCATGAAGTCGAGACCAAGAGTCAATCAAATGCACAAATAGCTCACATGCTGCGTGAAGATGAGCTCAAATGATACCAACATTCTAACTCTCAATTTATCCCGAAAGGTGATTCAAATACTAGTTATTTCCATGGTGCCGCTGATGGTAGACACCGGAAGATACTTATTCATTCACTACAACAGGAGGAGGGCACGGTTGAGGGACATTAGCAACTTACATCTTACATCACTAATTATTATAAAATTTTGTTCGAAGCCCCAGAAAAAGGAAACTTCTCGATGGATGACTCCTGAACAGATGACATCCTCAGGTCTGATGAGGAAAATAATCTTCTAACAGCTCCAATTCCAAGAAGGAAATCAGAACTTGTGGGAAGTCATCAAACCAGATCTCCTAGATTTGTTTGGCTACCTGCATGCTAGCGACATGTTCCCGGTCTTCAGATCCTGTCCCGATAAATTTGGGATTGTTCGGACATAGGCCAGGGCGAAAATCCCTGCTCAGTTTGTTGATGCTGGCAAAGGCGATACGTGAGGGTGCCGTCCCCTTCTTGGAGGTGTTGCCACGACCTTTCTCTGTGCTCCTCTTCGAGTACCAGGGAAAAACCTCAGGTCCAGTTCTTCAAATCAGATGGCGGTGACCCGGTTCTTCGGATAGGACGGCGGCGATGTCAGTGTCGTTCCCCTTCATAGAGGCGTTGTCACGACCTTTCTCCGTGCCCCTATTCGAGCACCGGGGAAAACACCCGACCCGGTTCTTCGGATAGGATGGCGGCGAGGTTCTTCGGATAGGATGGTGGCGATGTCATCGTCGTTCCCCTTCATGAAGGCATTGTCACGACCTTTCTCCGTGCCCCTCTTCGAGCACCGGGGAAAATTCCAGGTTCGATTCTTTGGATCGGATGACAGTGATGTCAGCATCGCTCCCTTTCATGAAGGTTTCGTCTTGCTTGTGGCATGCCCGGTGATGGATTTTCAAGACTTGGGACATCATTTCGGTTCAGGTTGCTTCTCTTGGTCACGGTAGTTTAGCTATGTGTTGTAGCTTATGTTTGAACCGAGTATGTCATGTATCTCTACTCCGGACACCATGTTTACATCATCTTTGGTTGTGCCGTGTGATGTGCCCCCTTTGTTCACGTGCTAACTTCTTCTACCAACAAAAAGATATGCAAGCTTTGCATATTCACGAAGCATGGACCATGCCAGAAATAACAATTGAATCAAAGAGGGTGGTTCAAACATGCCAAATCTTTGAGATCAAGTTTTTATCATGTAAACCAATACGTACTTGTGTTTTGCCATTATAAAATAAACAACAATGCGGGCCAAAAGGGCGGGGATGCCTCAAACCATACTTCAAGTTTTAACGCACACATAGCTAAGCCGTAACTTGATACAACGTCGCAGGCTGAAGCTGCTCAAGTGGAGGTGCTCAACTGACGACGACCGACGGACGAGGAGACGAGGCGCCTGCCTGCCTAGTAGCAACACCAATCCGATCCTAGTGGCAGTGTGGAGACAGGCACTCGCAGACCGGCCAGAAGTAGCCCCCGTTGCACTGGCCGTCGTTCTTGCCGAGGGCATGGCAGGCAGCTCTGCACCCCCCGGGCTTCACGCAGATGCCGTACCCCATGTCCGTGCTCCAGCACTCGCCGCCCCCCTGAGCCCTCGCCACCCCGCCTGCAAGCAATCACACAGCCAAAACAATGAAAATTGAAAGAAACGTGCACGCGCCACGGGAAGCACATCGCCTGTCGACGGTGGCCGAGGGAGGCGGCGCTCACTTGAAATGGCGAGGAGCAGCACGAGAAGCGCGCAGCGCAGGGCATTCCTCCTCCAAGCCTCCATGGGAGGAACAGGAGAATGTACACAACAACTGTCCTGTTTGGGCCTCCTTGGTTGGTGAGGCTCCTCCTTATTTTGGTCAATTGGCATTCGTCGGAGGAGCTACGGTCTGCATATATATCGAGGTCCTAAGGCTTGGAGAGAGAATAGGAGGCTCAAAGAACTCGAGGTCAAGCGGGTAAGCCGGGCCATTTCAAGGATAGTCAACACAAACATGTCCCTCCCTAGATTTGGTGCAAACATGTCCCTAAATAGGAGGCTATGTTTGTGCGGTTTCTCCCAAGCTAGCTATTTTAAGAACTTCCTAATTGCTTCGTCCGAATTACTACAAAGAAGCGATTACCATTTGATTATTAGATTGCGTGCTCTGTTCTGATCACAATGAAGACCACAAGCTTTGCTTTACATAATTTGCACTGAAATTAGTGCCTGAAAGAGCATCAAAGTACATATCGACATAGTATATACCCTCACATTTTAGCTAAATGCAAGTCGCCTGAAAATTGATTTTGGGTCATTCGACTTTTTGCCGTAGATTTTGGCTTTCATATTTGTGCTCTGTTTTTTTTTTCTGGTTTGTTCTTTGAGTTGTTTTGGGCTGGTGTTTTTGACGGATCACATATTTGGGTCAGTTGATTTGCTAGTGGGCTGTCCCTTTGTTCTCTTTTTCTTGTTTTTTTTTGTTTTTATGCCTATTTGCATTTTTTGTGTTCCTTTATTAGTTTTATTATTTTGGTATTTTTGGGATGTTGGGCAGCACAAATGTATACACACAAATACCATGCAATATCTGGGAAAATTACACTATTATATGATTATTGTTTGCGTACTAAAAAAGGTGCAATTTTAGTGCATACAAGTTTCTTTTTTTAACAATCTTTCTTCTTAAAGAGTCATACTAATGCCATTAATTCATTCCTCGCAATAAAAACTTATTTTTTTAATTTGTTTTTGTTATTATTTCAATTTCTTCTTCTTAAAGGGTAATACCAAACCTAGCAATTCATTCTTTCCTAGCACAAAACAATTTTTTGATTTTCTTCTTCTTAAAGGGTATTACCAATGCCACGAAACCATTCTTCCCTAGCAAGCTCATTATTTTGATTTTGTTTTAGATTTTATTTGTTTAAATTTCTATTTCTTCTTAAAGGATAATACCAATGCTACTAATTCGTTCTTCCCTAGAAAACCTCATTACTTCCCTAAAAAAACCTCCTTACATTGATTTTTTTCTTTCTTCTTAAATGGTAACACCAATGCCACTAATTTATTCTTTCCTAGAAAACTTCACTATTTTTATTTTTAGTTATTATTTCATTTTCTTTGTTCTTAAACGGGCATACCAGTGCCACTAATTCATCCATTCTTAAAGATAACTCGTTATTTGGATTTTGTTTTAATTTTTACTTCATTTGCTACTTCCTTAGTGGTAATACCAGTGCCACTAATTCATTCCTACTTAGGAAAGTTCCCTTTTTGTGAAAATTCCACTATTATATACTTATTCTTGCATATTATAAAAAACACAATTTGTATGTAAATTGTGTGCAATTTTTGTCATTATTTATTTTATTACGTTTCAATTTATTTCTTCTTCAAGGGTAATACCAATGCCCCCAATTCAGCTATATATTATATGTTTATTCTTGCATATTAAAACAAAGAGCAATTTTTATGTAAGTTGTGTGCAAATATTGTCATTATTTGTTTTAGTTTTTATTTCAATTTATTTCTTCTTTAAGGGTACTACCAATACTACTAATTCCACGATTATATGTTTATTCTCGTATATTATAACAAAGTGCAACTTCTGTATAAATGTTGTCATTATTTGTTTTCAGTTTTATTTCATTTTTTATTCTTAGGGTAATATGAATGCCACTAATGGATTGCTTCTTAGAAAGCTTCTTTTTTGCAAAAAGTTCAAGTATTATATGTGTATTCTTGCATATTTTTAAAAAGCACAAATTCCGTGTAATTTGAGTGCAAATTTTGTCATTTTTTTGAGTTATTAGTTTTTCAATTTTTTTATCTTCTTCTTAAAGGAATATCAATGCCACAAATTCATTCTTCCTTATAAAACTTTATTTTTTATTTTACTGGCATTAGTTCCTTCGTTGGATGTGTAATGTTTTATCTTTACTTTAAGGGTAATACCCATGCCATTAATTCATTCCTTATTATATTTTTTTTGCAAAATTTACATGCTTATTCTTGCATATTATAAGCTACAATTTATGTGAAAATACATTTGCATTGTGCTTGTTGTTGCCTCAGTCAAGACCTATCGAGTTAATGGGTTTGTATTGTGCTTAATCTTGTGTTATGGACCTAAAATGGAATCTATATGTTGACCATTCTTGCAACTTTTCAGTTAGCTGGAATCTTTTTTAGTTATGGTCGGTTTCATCGTTTGGCTTGGAGTATGATAGCAACAAGCCATGCCCGGATGGCGGCGTTCGCGTCGGAAGCACCAGGCGTGTGTATGGGCAGTGTATGGCAAAGTGTGCGTGCGTGTGTGCGTGCTTGTGGTGTGCGTGGCGTGGTGGTCGGTGGCGTGGGTTAGCTAGCGAGTTAGTTAGCAGGCTGTTAGCATCAACCGGTGGAGCTGGCCGGGTCGCACGCACAGCCGGGCTGATCGCTTGCATGCAGGAGGTAGTTTGCGCGTTTGTTGCCAGCGGCCACGGTGAGCGCGTGGTGCGCGTGGGTAACGTGGGAGCTGCGCTGCCATGGGATTACAAAAGGGCCTGGCCTTGAGTGCGTGTTGTAATTGGGAAAGATGTAGTTGCCAAACCATGTAGCCAGTGGGTTCAGCTTGAGTACGTGCTCGAGCGAAAAGACGCTGTACGTGCGGCGGGTGGAGTTCGGGCTCCAGGAAAAACACCACCATGTCATCTCTGTGCTCGTGTTTTTCTCCACCTCCTTCTTCTTCGTTGGTTCGTGGTAAGTGAGGGCGGGCTAGAGAGACGGAGCTACGGCAACAACAGAGTAGCCCACCTACCAAACATTGTATCCGGTGTGTGATTCAAGTAGACATAAAAATCACCGAGCTCTTGCTGATCTACGCTTGAAACAAGTATCGACCCCATGCATGAATGCCAATGTCTAGCGCACCATGTGCACAGCTAGGGCATGAAGTGAGCAAGTAGTAGTACATAGAAACCGTGGGAGGAAGGATACGAAAGAGACTAGAATTATTCAGTCAATCAGAGTGTACATATATACTGACCTACGCACACGCAGGTGCAGCCATGATCTAACTAGTACCAGAGCTAACACACTAAACCGGCGCATGCAATAATGACATGAGAACAGGCGAAGTAGTTACAAAGAGATGGAGCTACGGGAGCTATTCATGTCGGAGCAACAGACCAAGGTGACGTGCTCCAACAGAAACGATCGAGTAGGAATCTGCAAGCAAATCGACTAATAGAACTTTTTGGTCAGTCGACTGAACCAAAAACAAAATCCAGTCAACTTGCATGTAGGTTGTCCTCTCTGTTTTGTTATAACCAACCATACAATAATCAAGAGTAATTCATACAATCCTTTGCAAGAGCAGTTGTTACACAACATGGGAAACTACTCACTAATAAAACATAAGATTTGGGACAAAAACAAAATTAGCTATACCATGGACTACACTATTTGTATCCACTTCAATATATGTAAATCGCATGGAAATTTATTTTGGGCCAGTCGGAATTTTTGTTCGTTGATTCCTGCTTTGAGATTTTTGCTACTCCCTCCGTCTACTAATAAAAGGCTACTTCACATTTTCTGTCTAAGTTTGACCATTAATTATACCAAGAAAATGTGAGTTATATGCCATAAAAAAGTATGCCATGGATGCACATTTGAAAGAACTCTTCGATAATATTTTTTTATGACATACAACCCATATTTTCTTGACCAAAATTATAAGTCAAAGTTTGACATAAAAATGAAGTGGCCTTGTATATAAAAATGCTGGGAGTACCTTTTTCCCTGGGCTGTTAGAGTAGTTTTGGGCTATTTTTGTTGATTGGCCACAAGTTGGGTTCCATCAATTCCTTAACGGGCCGAAGCCCATTACTTGTGTGACCAAACCCTTCCGTTCCGCCTTTTTTCCTTCTTCTGTTTATATGTGTTTTTGGACTTTTGCCTTTCTTTATTATTTGATTTTATCCTTTTATCTTTTGTGGGTATTTTTTGGATGCTGGGTGAGTGTAAATGTATACACACAAATAATATAAAATACATGCAAAAACTACACTTATAAGATTATGCTTCGCATACTACAAAGAAGTGCAATTTCAATGCAAAGTTATGTGCAAGTTTTTTTAAGAATATTTTTTCTTGCTTCTTAAAGGGTAATATCAATGGCACTAATTCATTGTTCCTCATAAAACTTCATTATTTTTATTTGATTTTGTTTTAGTTTTTATTTTATTTACTTTTCTTTTTAGAGTAGTACCAATGTCACTCATTCATTCCTTCTTCATAAATTCCGTTTTAAGAAAATACCACTATTATATGCTTATTCTTGTATATTTTTTAAAAATATAATATTTTTGTTGTATATTGTGGGCAATAAATTCATTGGTTTTTATTTTTTATTTATTTTAAAAGGGTAATACCAATGCCACTAATGCATTTCCTTAGAAAACCTCATTACTTTGATTTTTCATTTTTTTAGTTTTCTTTTTTAGGTAATACCAAAGCCATTAATTCAGTCTTTCTTAGAAAATTTCGTATTTTGATTTTGTTTTGGTTTTTTATTTTCTTACTCCTTAAAGGGGAATACCAAAGATACTAATTCTTTCTTTCTTAGAAAACTTTATTATTTTGATTTTTTAGTGCCCTTGAAAATAATGGAGTTTTCTAAGAAAGAATGAATTAATGGTTTTGGTATTACCCTTTAAGAAGAAAGGAAATATTAAAAACTGAAACTAAATCAAAATAATAAGGTTAACAATGAATGAGTGGCATTGTTATTACCCTTTAAGAAGAAAGAAAATAAAAAGATCAAAAAAATGAAACAGAGTCACACAATATACAAAAAATCTTTTTTAAATATACAAGAATAAGGGCATAATAGTTGTATTTTGTAAAATAAAATTTCATAAGAAGGACAATGAGTGGCATTGGTACTTCCCCTGAAAACAAAAGTAACTAAAATAAAAAATAAAACAAAGTTAAATCAAAATAATGAAATTTTTATAAGGAACAATGAATTAGTGCCATTGATATTACCCTTTAAGAAGAAGAAAAAAATGGAAAACTATAAAAAAAACTTCCACACAACTTTGCATTGAAAGTTGCACTTCTTTGTACTATGCAAATAATAATCTTATAATAGTGCAATTTTTGCATATATTTTATAGTATTTGTGTGTGTACATTTGCACTCACCCAACATCCCAAAAATAGCCACAAAAGATAAGAATGAAACACCAAATAATAAAGAAAACCCAAAACAGGTATAAACATAAGAATGAAAAAAAGGAGGGAGGGAAGTGCTGGGTCACACAGGTGATGGGCTTCAACCCGTTAAGGAATTGACTCGCCCAAACTTGTGGCCAGTCGAAAAAACCAGCCCAAAACTACTCACAGAGCATACCAGGAAAAAAGGTACTCCTTCATTTTTTATATACAAGGCCACTTCATTTTTCATGTCAAGCTTTGAAATATTATTTGGTCAAGAAAATATGAGTTGTATGTCACAAAAAATACATTATCAAAAAGTTCTTTCAAATGTGCATCCGGTGGCATACTTATTATGGCATATAACTCGGATTTTGTTGGTAAATTTAATGGTTAAAATTAGACATAAAGCTTGAAGTCGCCTTTTATTAGTAGATGGAGGGAGTGACACAAATCACAAAGTAGGAATCAACGAACAAAAATGCCGACTGACCCAAAATCAATTTTCAGGCGATTTACATACACTAAAGTGGATACAAATAGTTTTATTCATGGTATAGCTAATTAGTTTTTGTCCCAAATCTTATGGTTTAGTAGTGGGTAGTGTCCCATGGTGTGTAACGATTGCTCTTGCAAATGATTGTGTGAACTATTCTTGATTATTGTATGGTTGGTTATAAGAATACATAGGGGGCATGCAATCCGTTGCTCCAATGTGAATAGCTCACGTAGCTCCATCTCTCTATAATTACTTCTCCTGTTCTCATGCGTCATTATAGCGTGTGCAGGTTTAGTGAGCTACCTTTGGTAATTGACGGAATAATTCCAATCTCTTTCGTGTCCTTCCGTCCCATAGTTTCTATGTACTACTAGTTGCTCACTTCATCACCCACTTCTAGCACCTGGTGTACTAGACATTGGCATTCATGCATAGGGTCGATACTTGTTTAGATCAACAAGAGCTCGGTGATTTTTATGTCTACCTGAATCACATACCAGATACAATCTTTGGTAGGTGGCTTCTTGAAGCCAAACGAGGAAACCGACCAGAACTAAAAATATTCAGGTAACTGAAAAGTTGCAAAAATGGTCAACATATAGATTTCATTTTAGGTCCATAACACAAGATTAAGCACAATACAAACCCGTTAACTCGATAGCTCTTGGACCGAAGCAACAACAAAGCACAAGACAAATACGTTTACACATAAATTGCGGCTTATAATATGCGAGAATAGGCTATAACAGTGGAATTTTCGCAATAAAAGTTTTATAAGAAGGAATGAATTAATGGCATTGGTATTATCATTAAAGGAAAAAGAAAAAATACACATAGTTTACACATCCAACGAAAGAACTAATGCCACTAAAATAAAATAATAATAAGAATGGATTAGTGGCATTGATATTAACCTTTAAGGAGAAGATTTCTTTCTAAAAATTAATAACTAAAACAAAATTTGCACAAATTTTACACAGAATTTGTGCTTTTTAAAAATATGCAAGAATACACATATATTAGTGGAACATTTTGCAAAAAAGAAGCTTTCTAAGAAGCAATGCATTACTGGTATCCGTATTACCCTTAAAGAATAACAAAAATGAAATAAAACCAAAAACAAATAATGACAAAATTCACACAAAAGTTGCGCTTGGTTATAATATGCGAGAATAAACATAAAAAATAGTGCAATTAGTAGCATTGGTGGTACCCTTAAAGAAGAAATTAATTTTAAATAAAAACTAAAACAAATAATGACAAAATTTGCACTCAACTTACATCATAATTAACCTTTCTTTTAATATGCAAGAATAAACATATAATAGTTGAATTCGAGGCACCGGTATTACCCTAAAGAAGAAGGAAAATGAAATAAAACTAAAAAAAATCTAAATAATGAAGTTTTCAACGAAAGAATGAATTAGTGGCATTGGTATTACCCTTTAAGAAGAAAGAAAATAAATAAATAAATTATGAAAATTTTGAACACAATTTACGCACAAATATTATTTTTTATAATATGCAATAATAAGTATATAATAGTGGATTTTGTTTTGCAAAAAAGGAATTTTCCTAAGTAGGAATGAATTAGTGGCATTGGTATTACCATTAAGGAAGAAAGGAAATGATTTTTTTAAAGTAATGAGTTTTTTCAAGAGCGAATGAATTACTGGCACTTGTATTACCCTTTAAGAGCAAAGGAAATGAAATACTAATAATTAAACAAGATAAAAAATAGTGAGGTTTTCTAGGAGAAAATGAATTAGTGCCATTGGTGTTACCCTTTAAGAAGAAAGAAAGAAAAACTAAAACAAAATAAAAAATCAAAATAATGTGGTTTTCTAGGGAAGAATGAATTATTGGCATTGCTATTACCCTTTAGGAAAAAATAAAAATTTAAAACACAAAAAATAAAAATAATGAGATTTTCTATGGAAAAATTAATTAGTGTCATTGGTATTACCCTTTGAGAAGAAATAAAATAAAATATCAAAATAAAAAATATTTTTCTAGGAAAGAAAGAATTAGTTGGTTTGGTATTACCCTTTAAGAAGAAATTGCAATAATAACAAAAGGCAGATTTAAGTAATGAGGGAAGAATGAGTTAGTGCCATCGGTATTGCCCTTTAAGAATAAAAGTAAATAAATAAACTCCTTAAAAATCATTGAAATATTTTGCACACAATATACACAAAAGTTGCGCTTTTTAAAACTATGCAAGAATACACATATGGAATTAAATTGTGGCATTGGTATTACTCTTAAAGAAAAATGAAAATGAAATGATAACTAAAACAAAAATAAAATAATGAATTTTTATAAGGAATGAAATAGTCTCACTGGTATTACACTTTAAGACAAAAGATAATAAAAAAGAAACTTGCACACACATACAACTTTGGACGAAAATTGCATCTTTTTTTGGTATGCAAACAATAATCATATAATAGTGTAATTTTACCATCTATTGCATAGTATTTGTGTGTATACATTTGTACTCAACCAGCATCCCAAAAATACCAAAATAATAAACAACTAATAATGGAACACAAAAATAAAAGCAAATATGCATAAAAACAGGAAAACAGAAAAAGAGAACAGAGAGAGAGAGAGAGAGAGAGAGAGAGAGAGAGAGAGGGCTGGACTGCACAGGAAATGGGCTTCGGTCCCCTAGCAAATTGACGGACCCAAATATCTGATCAGTCAAAGAACAAACCAAAAAAACAGAGCACGAATCTCAAAGCGGAGATCTACGGCAAAAAAAATCAAATGACCCAAATCAATTTTCAGGCGACTTACATTTAGCTAAAATGAAAAAAGAGAGATCCTTTGGCCACAAAAGCAGTTTGTATTGTATGTATAAGGAAGAGTATATGCATTTATCCATATAAACACAAGTTATACCAGTCATATATAGACCACCGTGAATATCCATGACATAAGAATTTTTTATCTACAAACAGTTGAGCATAAATAAGAGCACAACAAAGCGCCATCTCGGTCAATTATTTATATTTCTTTGTCGCTCTGGTTTGATTTGGAGGAATGGAAATTACATTAAGGACAATCACTCGATAAAGATATAATCTAGACCATATAATACTCCCTGCGTTCCAAAATAGATGACTCAACTTTGTACTAACTTTGGAACGGAGGGGGAGGTTGTGTATTCCGAAGAAGGAAGTGGGATTGGGTTTTAGAGACTTGCACAGTTTTAATCTTGCTATGTTAGCAAAATAGTGTTGGCGACTAATTCAAAACCCGGATTCTTTGTGTGCGCAAGTTCTCAGGGCAAAATATTACCCAGATGGTGACATATTGAAAGTTGGACCCAAAAAAGGCTCTTCTTATACTTGGCAGAGTATTGTCGCAGGTATTCAGACTTTTAAGCGGGGTTGCATTCGGCGTGTTGGAAGTGGAGCTCAAATTGATATCTAGCATGATCCATGGATTCCATCAAGTGTCACAAGGAAAGTAATCACGAATAGGGGTGCAACAATGCTTTCAAAGGTTGATGAGTTAATAAACCCGTACACAGGCCAGTGGGATGAGGATCTAATTCGTGATGTGTTCTCTCCTGTTGATGTTCATAGGATATTACAAATCCCCTTGAATTATCACTTGACGGAAGACTTTGTGGCTTGGAACTATACACGATCAGGCACGTTTTCCGTGCGATCGGTTTATCATAAGGAGTTTGAACATCAACATGGGGCACAGTGGATGCGAGCTGATGGGCAAGGTACAGAAAATATAAACTCAGTTTGGAAGGATATGTGGAAGCTGAAAATACCAGGGAAGATAAAACATTTTGCATGGAAAGTTTTGCATGGCGCCCTCCCATGCTTTGGTGTATTAGCAAGCCGACACATCCCATGCTCGGCTCAATGTCCAGTTTGTTTAGTCGGAGCAGAAGACATTCAACACTGCTTATTTAGGTGCCGACGAGCGACGGATGTTTGAGAGCGGCTGGGCTTGCTACAAGTCATACGGAAAGCTGTCGCCGAGGACAGATCAGGATCTATTACGATGGAAATTTTATCAAAGCTTCAGGGCAATGATGCGGAGGTACCAACGGCAGAGCTTGCTGTTGTAGCAACATGGTACATATGGTGGCAGCGCCGACAGATAGTAAAGGGAGTCAAAGTCCAAACGCCGGAAAAAACTGCACTAGCCATCAAGGTTTTGGCGACAAATTACCTCAGGTCAACTATACCCAAAGGACCAATACGTAAGAACGACCACATGTGGAGGAAACCAGGATATGGGATCGCGAAGATAAATGTTGATGCTTCCTTTCAGTATGAAACACTTTCAGGTGCTTGTGGTGCTGTGGCTCGGGACTACCGAGGTGATTTTATTGCTGCAGCAAGTTGGTTTGTTCCAAACATCAGTGGAGTTGACTCAGCTGAGCTAACTGCCATCAGAAACGGGATATACTTGGCAACTCACATTGGATGCAACAATATAGAAATTGAATCAGATTGTTCGTTTGCAGTGAACTCGCTGAACCAAGTTGATGATTATTTAGGCCCGGAGGTAGCTATCATCACAGAGTATAAACAACTTATGATGGACTTTGCGTCCATATCCTTCAGACATTGTTATAGAGAGGCCAATCAGGTGGCAGATGAATTAGCAAAGAACACTTTTACTACTAGATCCTCTAGTTCTTGGGATGATGAGATCCCTGATTTTATTTCTCATCTGCTTGTAAATGACATGTCTATTATTTGAGAACTAAAGTCTATTTGCAGTCAAAAAAAAACTTTGGAACGGAGGAAGTAGCTTCTAAGGAATGCTAACGCGTTTATTAATGTAACTTCTACATACACAGTACCGAAGGAATTTCAACTTCAGAAACAATATGTCAGTAATTTGTACTCCATACGTACTCCCTCTGTTTCTTTTTAGTTCGCATATAAGGTTTGGTCAAAGTCAAACTTTATAAAGTTTGACTAATTTTATATTAAAAAATATAAACATTCACAATATGAAATCAATATTATCAGATGCACCATGAAACGTATTTTCATACTATATAGTTTTAGTATTGTAGATGTTTATATTTTTTTATATAAATTTAGTTAAAATTTGGGTAGTTTGACTTTGATCAAATCTTATATGCGGAGTAAAAAGAAACGGAGGGAGTACTACCGTAGAGCTACTGAGTTTAGTTCATCTAGCTGAACAGATGGAGATCAAAGAAGTAGTAGTACTATCTGCATAGACATGTGCAACTTCTATCGTAGCATTCCAAGCCGACCAATCCCAATCCCCTTAATTTCTGTTAGAGTTGAGTTTCGTCAGCTTGGCGCCGACGACGGGCGCGGTCGTCGTTGTGGACGTGGCATCCTGCGTGCCGCTCCTCCTTTCCCTGCCAACTCTCGCGCTGCCACTGTCAGCGCCCAATCCGATGGATAGCTTGCTCAGGGCCTTCCGTGCGTCGGTGCAGTACCTTTTGCTCGTGTCGAGCAGCGACGAGACGCCCCACCCGCGGCCCTGCCATTCCGCGCGGCTCCTCTTCTCCCCGCGCGGCTGCGGCGGTGGGTCTTGCACGTCCATGTCGTCGGTCTTGTTGTCCTCCTGCAGAGCGTCGCGCAGGGTGGGGTTGCTGCGGCCGCGGGAGGGCGAATGATCAACGGCGACGGAGTGACGCGTCGTCGACGGGCTCTTGAACCCGCAGGCCGCCCGCTTCGCGCTCCATGGGAAGAACACCATGAGCCCGCATGCTCTCGGGGACATCTGCTCGACGCGCGGCATGACCTTCACGGGGTCGTTGCTCTTCGGCCACTCCCCGTCGTCGTCATCGTGGGGGCGCGAGCTGCCGCGTCGACGCCAGTGCTTCGTGTGTCTCGCCGAGGACGACGACGCGGCGACGACGGCGCTGGGCTCGCCCGTGGGCGCGTGGCGGGAGGAGTGGGACCGGTCCTTGGCGAAGCTCTCGGCGCGGCCGAGGAAGATGTCCTCGAAGCGCTTGGACGTGACCCGGTCGAAGGAGCCGATCCGCGCGGGCGAGGAGGACGTCCTATCCAGGGCGTCGGAGAAGGACGACGCGTCGCAGTCGTCGCTGCTGGCCTCGCTCCCGTTGCCGTAGCACCAGTTCGTCCTCGTGGGGCACTGCGGTGGCCAGCGCCCGGGCGGCAGCTTGGGCGGCGGCATCGTCTCCTCCCGCGTGTCCCTGCCGCTCTTGGGCACGCCAGGGGAGCTCTCCCAGGAGAAGGGCACCTGCGTGCGCAGCGGCGAGGCGGCGCACCGCAGGCTGCTGCCGGGCGCGTCCGCGGAGGCGCACGAGCGGCGCGGCGTGGGGAGCGGCGAGTCGAGCAGCTGCGGGAGCGGCTCGCCGTCGGCGGCATTGCCCCGCCTCTCCCTGGGGCGCTTGGTGATGATCTCCATGGTCTCCGGCCTTTTGTTACGGCGCACTGTTGCGAAGCATGCAAGCGTATAATAAGAGGAGTGCATGCGAAGGCTGCAGTGAGGTAGGTGAGTGAGAAGGCGAGGCCATGCGGGCTGAGTTCGTGGTGCTTTACCACGAGAAGTGGAAAGTGGAGGCGGTTGGGGCGTAGCTAGCTTCCGCGTATGGTAGCGTGTCGCCGACATTTTCCCCCTCTCAGCTGGTTCGTTCCCGTGAGTTTGCTCGGGGGCGTTAATGGCGGAGGTTGCCGAAAGGTCGGCGATGCAAGAGAGATGGGAGGACATCCTGCACGCGGTACCGCCGTACAAGTTGATTTTTTTTAACACAGTACACCAAGCGCTCATATACACGCGCATACACTCACCCATATGAACGCACACACGCACACCCTACTTCTATAAGCACCTTCGAAAAACTGAGCCGACATATCATCTTGAAATTTACGAAGTCACCGTAAGCATCCTAAAGGCCACGATTTGTGCTTAACTTCTCATTGTTGTGACATTGCTCAGTCTCTTCTTCTACAAGGTTTTCTCATTTACTATGGACGTGTTTAGTAGCCTGCATACATCTCGACCATACCCGCGCGGGAAGAATCTGGTTTGTTTGGTTGCATATATACACTGTTGGGCCTGCATAGCATGGAACTTAAAACACCTCTCGGCCTGGCTCGCTGGAAACGCTCAGATCGACAGTTTCTTGCGAGCCAGGCCGAGGCAAGCGCAAGCGAGCGGGCCCTTGCATGAGTGGAGACGGGAAGGATGCGAGGTGATTAGGTGAGGTCTTCTTCAACCTCCAGTAAGCTTCTATCTAATCTCCTCTCTTTCTTGTCCCTCTGATCTACACAACGGTGCTTCGATTCGAGGTAAGCTCTACACGAAAAAGATGCACCTCGATGCTACGGTTTCATTCAGGCGATCGGTTCGTAGTTTCGTTGGCCGTAAGTTCTTCATTTCGTGCTCCCTTTAGGAGCTATTCTGGACGAATTTTGTCTGATTCGTCGCGCACGATAGACCATTTGAAATTTTCTTTGACCAACAGCCTAATCTCGCAGTTCCTCACAACATTCGTGTTGTTAGTTTTTGGTTTCGACGATCGTAGCTTCATCTCTCTTTGAACCGCCATGTCGAGCTCCTTTGTCCTCTGCTCATAGCCCTCCTATTCGTCCCTCTCGATGCTGAAGCCCTTCCCCTCGATCTAATTGCTACGTCCTACTACACTAGAGTCGTTTCCGGCATCGCTCATCTCGGCCTACTCTCTGTCGGCCTCCTACTGCACTGACGCTGCAATGGCGCGCACACTGCTTTCTTGTGCCCTCTGCCTCTGTGCACACTGCAGTTCGCCGCGCCGCCGACGGGGTCGATCATCTTGGCCTTCTCTCTCTCGCCCTACTACACTGGAGTCGTTTCCGGCGTCGATCATCTCGGCCTCCTCTCTCGTCCACTGCACTGATGATACCATGGCGCGAGCACTGCATTCTCCTCCTTTGTGGACTGTCTTTGTGCGAGCACCGCAACTAGTTCGCCGACGGTGTCGCTCGCCGTGCCGCCGACGGGGTCACTCTCCCACGACTTCATGCTCGTCGTATGTCGGACACGACGCCACGACCACTATCCACCGCAGTCGCCATGGTCCGATGCACATTGCATTTCTTCCCCCTTCCTCTGATAGCTCTTAACCCTGTGTGCTAAGTGTAAGTGCTAGCCCTTAATCATACCTCATGCGTGCAATCAAACACCGTGTCCATGTGCTGCTTGGGCCAATGCAGGAAACCAAATAAATTGCACTTGCATATTACCTAATGCAGGGACCCTAGATGCAGGCAACCAAACAACTTGTAAATGGCGCATTAGGGCATGTTTTTGCTCAACCAGGCTGGGTTGAGAAGTGTATGCCATGCAGGTATTGTTCACAACTTGAACCAAACACACCCTATATAATATGATAGACCTTGGTTCTATTTCATCTCTTGAACAAGTTTAGTAATAAGCATAACGACCCTATTGGTCCGATGGAGAGAAGAACCTATAATTAGCTTTTCGGGAAATTTCCAAACGAACAATTTCAACAAAATCTTTCAATTTCTCATTTTATTATGTTCAACTTTATGTATTCCTCTATACGTAGAGTACATGGGCATGACAAAACTGAAAAGATAGCATAACACTAGCTTTTGCATAAAAAACACTAGAAGAAAAACTACAATCAGGACCGAAATTCCTAATATGCAGCTTTGCGGACCTCCAAGGTGGCTCACCAAAGGCGAAAACATTATAGTTAACCGAATCAGGTTGAGGCAACACCCGGGCACGCCATCAAACTTCAGTTCTGCCACCCCCGCACGACTGATACGTCCATTTTGCGTCATGCTTTTATATCGATATTTATCGCATTATGGGCTGTTATTACACGTTATGTCACAATACTTATGCCTATTCTCTCTTATTTTACAAGGTTTACATGAAGAGGGAGAATGCCGACAACTGGAATTCTGGGCTGGAAAAGGAGCAAATATTAGAGACCTATTCTGCATAGCTCCAAAAGTCCTGAAACTTCACAGAAGTCATTTTTGGAATTAATAAAAAATACCGAGCAAAGAAAGTACCAGAGAGGGCCCACACCCTGTCCTCGAGGGTGGGGGCACGCCCTACCCCCCTGGGCGCGTCCCCTGCCTCGTGGGCCCCCTGGCAGGCCTCCGGTGCTCATGTTTTGCTATATGAAGTCTTTTACCCTGAAAAAAATCATAAGCAAGCTTTCGGGAAGAAACTCCGCCGCCACGAGGCGGAACCTTGGTGGAACCAATCTAGGGCTCCGGCAGAGCTGTTCTGTCGGGGAAACTTCCCTCCGGGAGGGGGAAATCATCGCCATCGTCATCACCAACAATCCTCTCATCGGGAGGGGGTCAATCTCCATCAAAATCTTCACCAGCACCATCTCCTCTCAAACCCTACTTCATGTCTTGTATCGAATCTTTGTCCCAAAGCCTTAGATTGGTACCTGTGGGTTGCTAGTAGTGTTGATTACTCCTTGTAATTGATGCTAGTTGGTTTATTTGGTGGAAAATCATATGTTCAGATCCTGTATGCATATTAATACCCCTCTGATTATGAACATGAATATGATTTGTGAGTAGTTACGTTTGTTCCCGAGGACATGGGAGAAGTCTTGCTATAAGTAGTCATGTGAATTTGGTATTCGTTCGATATTTTGATGAGATGTATGTTGTCTCTCCTCTAGTGGTGTTATGTGAACGTCGACTACATGACACTTCACCATTATTTGGGCCTAGAGGAAGGCATTGGGAAGTAATAAGTAGATGATGGGTTGCTAGAGTGACAGAGGCTTAAACCCTAGTTTATGCGTTGCATCGTAAGGGGCTGATTTGGATCCATATGTTTCATGCTATGGTTAGGTTTACCTTAATACTTATTTTGTAGTTGCGGATGCTTGCAATAGGGGTTAATCATAAGTGGGATGCTTGTCCAAGAAAGGGCAGCACCCAAGCACCGGTCCACCCACATACCAAATTATCAAAGAAACGAACGCGAATCATATGAGTGTGATGAAAACTAGCTTGACGATAATTCCCATGTGTCCTCGGGAGCGCTTTTCTCTATATAAGAGTTTGTCCAGGCTTGTCCTTTGCTAAAAAAAGGATTGGGCCATCTTGCTGCACCTTGTTTACTTTCATTACTTGTTACCTGTTACAAATTACCTTATCACAAAACTATTTGTTACCGATAATTTCAGCGCTTGCAGAGAGTACCTTGCTGAAAACCGCTTATCATTTCCTTCTGCTCCTCGTTGGGTTTGACACTCTTACTTATCGAAAGGACTATGATAGATCCCCTATACTTGTGGGTCATCAAGACTCTTTTCTGGTGCCTTTGCCGGGGAGTGAAGCGCCTTTGGTAGGTGGAATTTGGTAAGGAAAAATTTATATAGTGTGCTGAAATTTATTGTCACTTGTTACTATGGAACATAATCCTTTGAGGGGCTTGCTCGGGGTATCTTCACCCGGACCAGTAGAGCAAAGAGTTGCTCCTCAACCTACTGAACCTACTGAAAATGTTACTTTGAAATTCCTTCGGGTATGATAGAGAAACTGCTAGCTAATCCTTTTACAGGAGATGGAACATTACATCCCGATTTGCACCTAATCTATGTGGATGAAGTTTGTGGATTATTTAAGCTTGCAGGTATGCCCGAGGATGTTATTAAGAAGAAGGTCTTCCCTTTATCTTTGAAGGGAGAGGCATTGAGATGGTTTAGGCTATGTTATTATATGGGATCATGGAACTACAACCGATTGAAATTGGAATTTCATCAGAAGTTTTATCCTATGCATCTTGTTCATCGTGATCGTAATTATATATATAATTTTTGGCCTCGCGAAGGAGAAAGCATCACTCAAGCTTGGGGTAGGCTTAAGTCAATGTTATATTCATGCCCCAATCACGAGCTCTCAAGAGAAATGATTATTCAAAAATTTTATGCTCGGCTTTCTGTCAATAATCGCTCCATGCTCGATACTTCTTGTACTGGCTCTTTTATGATGAAGACTATTGAATTCAAATGAGATTTATTGGAAAGAATTAAATGCAACTCTGAAGATTGGGATCTCGACGAAGGTAAGGAGTCAGGACCTAAGTTTGATTGTGTTAAATCTTTTATGGATACCGATGTTTTCCGTGAATTTAGCACTAAATATGGACTTGACTCTGAGATAGTAGCTTCTTTCTGTGAATCATTTGCTACTCATGTTGATCTCCCTAAGGAGAAGTGGTTTAAATATAATCCCCCCATTGAAGTAAAAGTGGTTGCACCTATTAAAGTTGAAGAAAATACTGTCACTTATAATGATCCTATTATTCCTACTACTTATATTGAGAAACCACCTTTCCCTATTAGAATAAAGGATCATGCTAAAGCTTCAACTGTAGTCAACAAAAGTAATATTAAGACACCCAAACCCCCTGAG